TCAGTGTAATAGCTGGATAATTTATTCGAAATTTCCTTTGTTTTAAAATTCACTATGCTCAGTTATATTTTATGCGTAATCCACAAAATATTATTTTAAATTTATAAATTTAAAATTCATATTTCTTTTTATAGAAGAAGTTATAAAGGTAAGATTTTTTCTCTTTATATATATATATATATATACATACATACATAAGGTAAAGAAAATGGAAATACTTAATTCCTGCGCTTCAGCTCGAAAGGACTAAATTTTAAAGCAATTATTATAATAAGATTTTTTTAAAAATTGCTTTATGAAAAATGTTTAGGGCATTAATGCTGTCTCATGTTAATTAGTAGTGAAAGTTTAGAGCTGGAAACATCCCAAAGTGTCAGCACATGCATGTTCATCCACATAAAAGTGAAACGGAAAAAAGTATATATAGAGAGAGTATGCTTCAAATTCGTATTATATTATAAATTTCGAAATAATTTCTTGCGGGAAATTCCTATTTCTTTTTATAGAAGAAGTTCTAAAGGTAAGATTTTTTCTCTTTATGTATAAATATATATACATAAGGTAAAGAAAATGAAAATATTTAATTAATTCCTGCGCTTCAGCTGGAAAGGACTAAATTTTAAAGCAATTATTATAATAAGATTTTTTTTAAAAATGTTTTATTAAAAATGTTTAGGGCATTAATGCTGTCTCATGTTAATTAGTAGAGCTGGAAGTTTAGAGCTGGAAACATCCCAAAGTCTCAGCACATGCATGTTCATTCACATAAAAGTGAAACGGAAAAAAGTATATATAGAGAGAGTATGCTTCAAATTCGTATTGTATTATAACTTTCAAAATAAATTCTTGCGGGAAAAATTTAAATAAATAAGACCACAAATAAAACATTATATTTAATGTACATAATTATAGAAATAAATTACAAAATTCAAGTATAGATCAAATTGGAACTCAGAAAGTTACATATGGGGCGGAAAAAGAGTATGAGATTCCAACTCACAACCCCAAAGATCAAATCCCGTTCAGTCAGTTTAATCACTATGCTATCCTCCATAGACGTGATTAGCAATTTTGGCTTATATACATCATCAAGTAAATGAATTCCTAATAGTTAAATTTTTTGGTCCTATCTCAGTGTGCTATCGTCTAAAAAATTCACCAGAGTTTGTTCTTCAGCTTCTACGGCATTTCTTACAAAAACATAATTTTAAAGTGGCGTTCCGACTGAAGTTAGACGGACTGCTAAAAACATAATCCAAGTGAAAGATGTGCTTACAAATATATGTTAGCGAAAAAGCTACATTTATGAATAGAGAAATGCTAATTTAACATACTTTTTAATGCAGTAGAATATTAATATATTTTATGTTTTAAATACACGTATCCTATTCAATACGATACTGAAAATATTATGAAGCAAAAGAATGCTTTGTTTAAATTATAAATGTTTATTGGTTGAAAAGCTTGATTACTTTAAATTCTTTTTTGAAGGACAGCAGTATCTGACAGTCATATAAAATTTCCAAACTCACTTTCTCTGTAAGAAAATTTAATTTTTATAAATTCGTTATTTTTATAGCATAGTGAAGAAAGTGAATAACAAACAGTGTGTAACTGTAAGATTTACCGTTGATTGAATATTAATACCTGTACTGAATGAACTATACAGAACTGGTACTGTAAAGAACTTATTTTATTCTAACCGATTATTTTTAATTTCAGAAACTTTCCTTTTCCTTCTGATTTCAGTTTCCTGCCAGAATGTAAATTTTAATAACATAGTATGCAAATCTAAGTGAGTTCGAAATCAGTATTAAAGCAGCGGTTTTAAGAGTTTGTAGTAGGAAAGTTAGTTCCGAATTTATGTCGCGTGCTTGAAGTAGCCTTGTACGTAAATAGTTGGTGCTTAGCTATTCTCTTTAGATTATACTGGTATTCTAGTTTCGGCTTTGCTGTGTGCAGCCGATTTAGCCGGTTTAGACAACTAAAAAGCCAGTCGTGTAGCCCATCTTCATTTATTGTAATTTTAAATTTTTATTTTTTGTTCGAGTTACTTAGCTCCAAGTGGTGGTAAACTGTGAGCACCGAGCGAGTACATTTTTTGTTTGGTTCAAATAAAAAGGTTATTTAAACCTTCTTCTTCAGTATCTGTTCTTCAAAGACATAGCAAGAATTCGCTACTTACTCTTTCCAGTAGGGTCTACCCTTGGATGATCCCAAAACAGACAAGAGGACTCTACTGTACCATTTAAAATATTTGATTAATTAATATTAAAAATGTATTCAAGGAGGATACTCACATCATTTTCAGTTCTAAGAAAATAAAAAAAAAATGCATGAATAAGTTGTTCAACATAGATTCTTAAGACATTTTTTCTGTTTCAAAGATCATTGCTCTAATTTTTGCTGTTTCCGCAGGCATAAAAATTAATCAATGCAGGAAGAATCTTATAATTTTGTAACTAATAGAATTTCTCTTTCCGTTTAGAGAATGATATTTTATTTTGTGCAAAGGTAATTATAATTTTCAGTTCAAATCTTATATCTCAAAAGGTTATTTCTTAATTGTAAGGAACCAGAATCTTGACCTGAAATATTTTTATTTAAGAAGTAGGTTGATCATTGGTTTTCCTTTATTATTAATGATTAATTCTTGTTTATTTCTTTGGATTCATTAAAGAGACCTCGATGGTTGATCGAACAGTATTTAGATAGTTATATCATCTTTCACATTTTGAAAATTGTTTGAATAAGAAAAGCGTACTTTCCGAATGAATACATATTATCTACCACAGCCAAGTTAGTGTAACGAAGCTGTTTCATTCAAAAGGGTAACGAACTAACAACCTATTTGTTGATAAAGCTCTGAATATAAAATCATTTATTTATTGTAAAGCAATGCACCGAAATTAAGTAAGTGTTTCCAACTTTAAACTAGAGCTTATTTTGTATAAAGGAAGTTGTTATAAATATGAAAGAAAAGTGGAATAAAACTTATTACGGTGATTTCTAATATCCTTCAGTAAGTTTAGGTTTAAAAGAACAGCTTACAGGGTCTGAAAAAGGTATATTAAAGTAATTTATAATATGTTTCTTCCATAAAAAGTCGTTTTTAGTTCTATTTCTAAAATCTGAGTAGACGATTTTTCAGGCAATACGGCAAATTCTGCCGAAAGTCATAAACCGTTAAATATGAACTCTGTTTTCACAAACCAAAGAATAAGAAAAATTAATAAATACATGTGAATAAAAAGATGTTCGCTTAAAGTCGAATTTAGAATAACCACTACATCCCAAGTACTCATACAATGAATGTTTTAGTTTCTTGTAGTTTTATTCACTGAATAGCGTCACAGTTTTTGGTACATGTTACAATGACATATCACTCTACTTTTGCTATTTAATGTTCATTTTGATCAACCGACGCCCAGCCGGTATAGTGGTTAGCATGGCTGATTGCCGTGCCGGATTGTAATCCCGGAGAACGCATGGATGTTTGTAAATATATACATGAGGGCACTCTAAATATGCAGCAAGATGAAAGTCCTCTCGATGTTCATGGTAGGGGAAGAGGGGTGGGAGACCATTGAATCCTTTCCCCGGGTGCTTCTTCATCAAAATTGGGTGCGGAGCTGAGCTAAATCGCACTGCCACCTGTATGGTACTCAAGGCTGTTGCCAATGACAGGCGTAAACTTAACGACAAGCTGCGCTCCTTGCCACGAGATTTTTGAGGGCTTGGGCTGACTATAGGTCAGACAAGTGAGCATTAGCAACAACAATTTTCATCAACTTCTTTGCGCTGTTTTAATAATGATTCCGGCTTCAATGATATCACGGTCATATACTCATAATACTATAATTTTTTATCGTTTCTCGTCTTTGTTCATCAATATTTGTCTTCAACATCACAAATAATATTCATTTCAACAACACCTTCTGGTAGAACGTTTCTAAACTGGCTTTCAAAATAAGGAGAATCTCTACATTTCGTTCCCTATTTCTAGAACTAAAGGATAGATTTCAATGAAATTAGATGTGGCCATAGGTTGATATAATACCAATACTATACCACATAACAGGTCATGGTGTAGAACGCACGTATAATCATGAGCAAGTCTCATCAGCACAGAAAGGATTAAAACAGAGTTTGTAATATTAGACAAAACAGGAGGCTAATAATGACTATGATCCCTTCTAAAGTCATAAAGTTCTGACAAATGGAACTTCATTTTGGAAAGAAGGTAGTATTTCTCAGTTCCCTGTTTCAGTTGTTCCCACTCTTCAGTCGACCACGTTGTTTCCAGCGTTGGAGGACTGTGGGAAAGGGAGGTATTAGTATTAATCAGCACTTAAATTCACCGAATCAAAAATGGTTAAATTTTTAAAAAGACAGCTTTTTCTATTATTATGATGATGTACGAGTGTCTGAGAACTTATGTTTTGAGGGAAATGCACAAATGATTCTGATTTTTCTAATTGGAAGTCCGATGTATATAAAACTCATTTTCTGGTAATACCTAATTTTTAGCGTTAAAATAACTTTCTAAAATTGAAATGCATATACATTTAATTTAAATAATCAGGTTAACAATTTGGTAATAAAATCGTCAACAACGGTAAAATTGTGTTCATTTTATTTGAAAATTGGTTTAATCGTAGAAAACACAAATTTAGATGAAATTGAGTGTCATTTTGCAATCGTTTTGAAAGCAATAACATTATACCGCTCCATGAAGCTCTTGAGTAAATTCCTGAAGTTTTTCATTATTACCAAACTATGTTACCAAATTTATGCTATTAGATAAATTAAAATTCTTCTCGAAGCCACGCTGCTCCTGCATCATATTAAACTTTCTAAATACAGTCTTCACCACACCATTGTCAGCAGCTGGATTACCTAGGTAATTTCCAGGAGTTTTGATTTATTTCAGATAATTCATTATTTATCTGGAGATTTCTCTTAATATAAAAACTTTTAAAAATATCGTTTTCCCCTAGGTCTACAAAGCCTTCCAGTGACCAAGTAGATGGTGGGCCAAATAATGGTATTTCGAGCTGAGTTCAAATCGTACTGAAGAAACTGGTTGCAAAGGGCTTTCGTCATTTTCCTCATAGTCAACGTAAGCGCAAACCAGTTACCCTTAGAAATTCTTTTTACGTAGCTATCTTTCTCTTCGGCATCTTTTGCATGCTTTGATATAATCTTAATATAACCTAAATATATTTTGGATTTTGTAAAAATTTATAATGTTTTTAATATTATGCTATTCTTCTTTATTGATTTCATTTACAGTCTGAAGAAGAAATGCTTTTTTTTTACTATTCATCTTCTTTTTTAATATACTCGGAAAAACACATTTGAGGGCTTTTCACTCTGGCGGCAGCGTTGCATCTTATGTACTTAAGCAAATGATAGCTATTTTAATATACTTTAACGTTATTCATAATACTTCAGTAAGTTTTATAAAATACTTAAATTTATTGTTACAAGTTTTATACGCAATTTTTCAGAAGATATCTTGAGAAATAAGAGAGGGAAAAAATATAACAAACTAATTAAGATACAGTAACACGCCGAACAAATATTAATTTAGAAGTCCAACAACAAAAATCAGCGTTATACTTTCAAATTTTCACAGGACTAGTTTCGATGGTTTTACTGAACCATCATTCAATTCAATTGCCTAATTCAAATATCAACGCCTTCCTTCGTTTTGCAATTACCAACAAACATTTAAAAAAATAAAATAGAAAATACAATCAAATATCTATCTTCAATAGGCAAAAATTTATGTGAGCACTAAAGTAATTAATGTCAAAACTCATTTTTGAAGCTGCAATTCATCTAAAACATTTCTTATCAAATTATCTTAAAAACAAACCCTTGCAATAATACTGATATAGTAAAAAAAAAGGAAAAAGAAGAGGAAGAAGATACAGATTCATAAAATAAACTTTATCTCAAGGAACTATTATGAACTGTTATAAATTATGACTGTTAGCCTACTATTATTATACCTATTATAACTTCTATAATTATATCTAATAGATATGATATCAATCAAAATAGCGATATACAATTTATACTGTTATATTATGTGTTATATTATACTATGTATTTTTTTTTTAATATTAACTTTAAAATAAACCGAAGTGTAGTGGGACTATACCTACATTACTTATAGTAAACATTGGGTGTCCCACTACATTTCCACCTGAACCTGAACCTGAACCATAATTCTCAGCTGCAAAAGCGCAAAATGCGCTTTCTCGATTATATATTTCAGCTTGGGCTAAAGTTTAGTTAGAATTAGTTTAGTTCTTACTTTAAATCTTAAGTTAAAGCCCAAGTGAAGGCTTTCCTGTAAGCCCGAGAGGGGCCGTCTGTCAAATATTCCTTTGAGTGTATAAAAGGTTATTTTAACCCTTCTTTGGATTGTCTTTATAGTTGTAAGCAGACCAGCGAATAGTCGCTAGACTCTTCTCCAAAGTTCTAGTAGCCAAGGAGACGTAAATTAAACTTTATAAGAGTAATGAATTTTCACGAAAAATGAGCTTTTTTTAAACTTTAAATATTAGATAAGTCAAATAATACTGACTTTTTTCAATGTTTTTTCCTCGATAAGTCGGAGTCAGACAATTCCAGTTTCCTCCAAATGTAGAAGCCATGACCAAAAAATTCTTTAAAGAGTCTTGAAATACAGTATAATCTGCATTTCTGTGGTTTTCCAGTAGATCATTTAGTTACCCCAATAGGTAACTTCATTCTTACTTTTACTTTTCTTTAAAATTGAAGGTGGCTACCATTGACATGTTATTAACCGGTGATAGCAAAAGAGTTAAGAAATAATATAATTTTTTTTCAAGTTAATTGATTTTATTTAAGGGTCATCTATCAAAGGACAGATGTCTTAAAGGAAGATGCTTTAAGTGCAACTGATTCTTATTTTCGTAACATTATGACGAAATCACGGAAATTCTTTGCATTAACGGCATTTTGCCTAGCGAACCAGTGTTCACCAGTTTCAGCTATTTTGCCACCAGCAGGCTAATTTATTTTACAAAGCATAGTATACATTTTTATCTGCGATTAAGTAAAAACAAATTATTTGCTATTTCATATTTTTATTCTATGTTGTAAAACATTTCATACTTTAAAGAAATGTGAAGGTGTTTTAAAGGAGTAATGACTCACCATCTTTTCATTTTTTTTAAAGAATATGCCGGGAGATATTCATCATCAAGTATCTGTCTTTATTATCATTTTGCAGCATTATTTTAGTCTGGTCAATTATAATATGTTTTTCTGTTTGTGTGCAGGTAGAGGTACAATATTCCAGCGCTGTTTCTTTGATGTTTGAATAAACTATCTACATTGGATCAACATGAAAGCTGAAAGCTCGTGAGACGGGCTGCTGTTCCATTGCTCGTGGTGTATAATAACCGGTTTACTGATCTATCTTTATATAAAGGAGAAAGTAATGTTAATTGATAAACGCTATTAATTGGTATTATTATAAAATTTCTTAGCTAGTATTAAAACACTTATAACTACTACATAAACGTTGGTAAAAAAAGCAAAAAATGTTGTTCTTCAGTTTTTAATGTATTACATTGAAAATGTTCATCAGAGGAGAAAGCTTTCTTTTTCTTCTTCTTTCACTATTTTTTAACGCAAAAAACCCCCTTGAGAACTTGAAAAGTTTGTTTACTTTATATTAGATGATGGATAAAATAATAATAATAATAATAATAATAATTTAAAAAAAAAAAAAAAACATAATCTAAGTAAACAAAATAAAAGGAATGCTTTACTCTCAAGCAGATATTTTTTTTCACGCGGTAGAATATTATGAACGCTATGAGAAATTTCATGAATATGACGATAATGCATAAGATACAAAATTTCTATAACTAGGATACTTTAAGTACATTATATTCAGCCACATAAATATAATTTTAATACTTTATAATATATCTTTAATATTTAACGATATGTTCTTAACTTAAACTCTTTTTAATATTTAAATCTTCACATGTCCAATAATTCTTATAATTTACGTATGCAATCAGTGAGCTGCAAAATTTGCTTTGATTGGAGGTACACAGATGTAATATTATTTAAAAATTTATCATCAGTATTCCTTTCAATTAAACACATTTCGATTAAATGAAATGTGATCTTGTTAATATACAATTTTTATTTGTACAATAAAAATAAATAGTATAATGTTATTTAATGCATTTATCTAAAAAGCTTGCAAAATCAGTAGGTTTGTGAAGTACGAGGCACGAAAAATGTGCAATGTTTTCCCCGGGACTCGAACCTGGACTGCTCGAATACACGCCAAGTGCACCACGAAAGCAGCTGGAACGAATGCGTTATATACCCCCCCCCCATTTAAAGGAAGGTACATTGTGACGCAAAGTGTGTGTTCAGTAGTGATTAAGAGTTGCCGACAGGAGGCGCTGCTAGCGCGTTATACTCTCGACCTACGTAATTTGAATTGAGTATTCTTTTCTTTTGTGTACTTGCTGTAACAGATCTTACAGCTTTGTGATTGAGAATTTAAAATGTTTTGGAGCCAGATCGCTCCTCTACAGCAACAAAATGATTAATAAATACATAATAAAGTAAATATCTTTGTGATGATAATCTTTGTTATTAAATACAAAGTCAACCAGCTCCTGAGTGAATTCAAGTGGTCCGTCGAGAATCGAAAGTGAGCTCTCCTATTTTAATCTCTATTAAATTTGAAGAGTATAACTGTAATAAATATGGAAACTCTAAAAACTAGAAAAAGAGTGTTAAAAAGTTCACTGACGAGGCATAAAGATAAAGTTGTTTTGTCATTAGATGTTTCAGATTCAGTTGCGTTGCAGCTATTTGAAACCAAAACTAATGACATTTCTAACGAACTTAAATCTGTATTTTACTCAATTTTCGAAGCATGTAAACCCGAAGAATTGGATATATATGTTGAAGATAAAGAAGATACAGATGATATTGTTGATGAGTTGTTATTGATGATTAAACGTAAATTAGTCGTAGTTAAAAATAAGATGAATTCTGAACATTCTGTTTCTACTGTGCCGAGTAATAATAATTCAAACGTGTTTTCGGATGTTTAGTTACTGACGCTATCGGTATCGACATTCAATGGTAAAATAGAGAATTGGATAATGTTTAAAGATATGTTTAAAGCTAGTGTAATAGAAAACAAATCTATTTCGAGTAATGCGATGAGATTGCAATATTTAAAAGCTAGTTGTAAGGACGAAAGCTCTGAGAGTAATACAGTCTATTTCTATTTCGGATACAAATTTCGATATAACTTGGAAACTTTTAGAAGATAGGTATTCGAATAAACCTGAGCTTTTAAATGCTATAATAAAGCTTTTGAATCAGCCGAGTATTAGCGAGACATCTAGTTCTATTCTAAATTTAATTGATGTAACGAACGAATGTATTCGAACTTTAAATATTTTAAACTACAAGGTAGAAAACTTATCGGAAATAATGATAGTATATTTAATAGTGGATAAGTTTGATAAATCGACTCGATACTGGTGGGAAAGGGAATTAAAAAACTCAGAAGAATTAGGTACTATTGAATAATTACTTTCGCTTTTACAAAGCCAAGCGAGAACGCTTCAAAATAGTAAAATAAAGGAGGTAAAAAAGAGTAATAATTCTCCACATAAAAAAAAAAAAAAACTTACGAGTGTGATATCCACTTCTAATACAAAAAACATAAATTTGAAATGCATAAAGTGCCGTGGTGAAGAATTCCATTCATTATATAACTGTCCGGAATTTATAAATTTTTCTGTCAAGGACAGGTGTGAATTCGTGAAAAGAAATAAGCTTTGTTTTAATTGTTTGAAAAACCATTCCGTTCGAACGTGTTCGTCTAATTATCGATGTCAAAAATGCTCACGAAAGCATTCAACGCTGTTACATTTCGAAAATGAAAAACGAAATAAATCCGAAAGTGCTCATATTTGAAAGCCGGAAGTAGGGGGGGGGAGAAGACGACAGTCAGTCTCAATCCGAATGCTGAAAAATTTGTTTATGACTCTTCTTCTACCAATAAAGAAAGTATTTTCGTCGGCACAGCTGTAAACGGAATGCGTCAGACCAAAAATGTTTTACTTTCTACTGCGAATATTTTAATCAGAGATTGTTATGGTGAATTAAAATCAGTTCGCGCTTTGTGTGATGTAGGTTCGATGACGTCATTCTTAACGATTGAATGTGCTAATTCGTTAGGGATTAAAAGAGAAAAATATCTGTTGCGGTTTCTGGATTAAATAACACGAGAATAAATATTAATTGCTTCTATTTCAAACGGTATTGACTTTGAAATGAGTTTAGAATTTTTGTGCGTGCCTAAAATCTCGGACTCCATACCAATAAATAATATAGAAGTTCCGACTGAACATTTTCCTCAAAACATTAAGTTTGCTGATCCAAACTTTTATAAAAGAGGAAAAATTGATGCATTATTAGGCGCAGAGGTGTTTTATCAGATCTGAAAATTCGGTCAAGTTAAAGTACCCAATTCAGAGCTAAGATTTCAAAATTCTGTATTTGGCTCTATAGCCACTGGTAGTATTTTAAGTTCAGAGATTCAAAATACGCGAACGGTTCACTGTGGATTTGTTAATAACTATAACGATATAGAAAATGAAATTAAAAAATTTTGGCAACTTGAGTCTATAGGAATTAAAGATGATCCCAGTGAAAATGAGATAGATCAGTGAAAATGAGAAATGAATTTTAGATATATCAATCCTTAGAAACATTTGAAAAAACTGTTCGTTTTAAAGATAACCGGTATGAGGTTCAGTTACCATGGAAAAGAGATTGGGGAGAGCTCAATAATAACTTCATTGTTGCTAAAAACAGACTTAATTTACTTATGCGTAGACTTCAGAAAGATCAAAATCTTCATTTGCAGTATATTAAAACTTTAAAAGACTATGAAAATAAGAATATTATAGAGAAAGTTAGATGTCCTAAAGAAGCTGTTGATAAACCTGTGTTCTATTTGCCACATCAACCAGTTTTTAGAGAGGAAAGTGCAACTACAAAAATGAGAATAGTATTTGATGCAAGTTCCAGTCATAACTTTAAGCATTTAAGTCTAAATGATTGCCTGTGGTCAGGGCCAAACCTGAATTCGAACATATTCGACATTCTTGTTAATTTCAGATTAAACAAAGTCGCCTTCACTTCAGACACAGAGAAAGCTTTCCTACAAATTTTATTAGCCGAAAAGGACAGAGATGCAGTTCCTTTTCTATGAGAAGAAAATGGTAAACTTCAAGTTTACAGATTTAATCGTGCTCTTTTTGGTGTTACGAGCAGTCCATTCCTTTTGACTGCTACTTTGAAGACTCACATGAGAAAGCACTCTGCAGAATTCCCGACTACAATAGAATGCTTAGACCGCTGTTTGTATGTGGATGATTTTATTTCTGGAGCTGATAATGTGTCGGATGCTTTTGAGATCTCCACTCAAGCTACATCAATTATGAGCCAAGCTAGCATGGTGCTCCGAAAATGGACTACGAGCAACAATACATTGATGCAGTTTTGGACATGTGAAGGTTTCGATACACAGCCACAAGTCAACACTATTAAAGTTTTGAGACTGTCATGGAATCCTGCTGAAGATTGTCTAATATTGGGAAAGCAGAGCCTAGTGGACAGTCTGTTTAAAAACGAAAGTACCAAACGATTCCTGCTACGTACAATTGGAAAAATTTTTGATACGCTTGGGTTGCTTTCACCGTTTACTATTCGTGCGAAGTTCATTCTACAAGTCTTGTGGATGAAGAAAATTTCTTGGGATGAAGAAATACCTGTAGATCTACAAAACATATGGCTTCAGTGGTGCTCCGAGGTTCCTGAACTTTCAGAGTTACGAGTTCCTAGAAACGTGCTCAATTTAAATATACAAGAGCCAACCGATATCTTAGAACTACACTGCTTCTGCGAGGCTAGCCAAAAAGCTTACGGTGCTGCTATTTATGCAAGAGTTGTGAAGGATAATAACATCGAAGTGAATTTATTGGTTAGCAAGAGTCGAGTGACGCCACTAAGGAAAATCACTCTTCCGAGACTAGAATTACTCGGTGCTTTGCTTGCCGCCCGACTAGCGAGTAAAGTCAAGAAATCACTCGATTTAAAAAAGCCTTCCTTAGTGTTCTTTTGGACGGATTCAAAAATAACTCTCTATTGGATTAAAGGATCTACGAAACGATGGAAATCATTTGTTGCCAATAGAGTTAACGAAATACAGAGTTTAAGTGATACCAGTGCCTGGGCACACTGCCCTGGGAAGCAAAATCCAGCTGATCTCCTCAGCAGGGGAGTCAGTGCTGACATTTTATTGAACAGTGACATTTG